TGGGTCATAAAAATCATATACATTGTATATTGACAAAATAAAAATTTTAAAAAAAAAAGAACTGCAGAAGGGAAAAAAAGTTAATTTTACTATATGATAATTAAATTTTTTTTCTTTTTACAAAAAAAAAAAAAGTATGAAATGGTAAAGCTGAAAGCAACTGGAGATCATTTAATCCAAAACCCTCAGGCTTTTGGCCATTGACATTGTTTGTATCACTACAAAATACTCTATTATTTATCATTTATATCAATATTAAACTTTCTACACTCTTAAAAAAAAAAAAAAACACAGAAAACAGTAATAACATTCTCCTTAGAACAGAAATAATTATGCTACAATCAAAATGATTCCACCTCGTAGCTATACTAGTGGAAGCTGAGTTGGCCACAAAAGTAATCCCTGAAATCCCAAACGATCAATTATTTTGACTGTTTGACAAAATAATATCAATGAATACAATATAATTATTTTGTCCAACCTATCTAGAGATTAAATGCTCATAAAAGTGAGTATTTTGCTTCTTATTCCAACTCTACTCAATATAACAAATACAAGGTCGTACAAGAAAACTTCAAGCAGTTATACAGCTAACCTCTCCATCCTTTTTTTCTTTTTGCACACACACACACCCCAAAAAAATTCCCCCAAAAGGACACCAAATCTTCTGTTTACAGCATGCCTTATCCTGAACTAAGCCTCACAAATACTAGATAATGTAAAAAAGTAGAGGTTAAAAAAAAAATCCTCCCTCTAAGTTAGCCAACTCAGAGAATGACTTTACACTGTGACTTCCTTTACTTCACCAGGAACTGACAGTATTTCTATTTAAAAACAATCTATGCCTACTTGAGACTTTCCCCCGTTCCTGATGCTGACAGCATTCCCTTTATCAATGGAGACATTTGAACCTTCAACAGTGCCATGCCCTTGAAGCAAAAACATATCTGGAGAAGCTGTCCATATTTTTTAAATGAAAATATCCATTTTAAAATCTTTTTTGATATTTCTACAGAGAATGGTGATATATTTATACCAAGCCAATCAATAACAGAGGAAGATGTAAACTTTGAGATTGAGTTAATGTCTAATGAAGAATAAGAATTCGCCCCTGAGAGGGAAACCACTACTCTGGCTGGCACTACTGCCCTTTCTCAGATTTAGTTGTATCTGAGTCTGAAATTTTTATTTCTTCTAACAATGCTGGACAAAGACTGGTTCTAAAGCATTAATATTAGATTACAATCTCATCTAATTAGCTAAACCTTAAGGTTGATAATACAGTGATGATGTCTGGTATAATTAACATTAACATCATTATTAAAAAAACCACTCCCTCTGAAATTGAGAATATAATTTTTAAAGCTAATAGTTATTCAACACCCTGATTCTTGTTTCTGGTTGATTTTTGACACATACCACCAACTTCCTGCCAGAATGTCTTCTTGGGTTGAAATAAACTCTGCAGAAAAACAATCCTTAAAAAATTACACTTACATAACTTGACAATCTCACTGGTACTCAAGTGAAGAAGAAAACAGCAAAGACCTTAACAGGCCAGTAACTTACTTTTTATTATCTCTACTAAAAAAAAACCTGAGACTTCCCTCTCTGAAGAAGAGAACTAACTGAAGTGCCTGCTACCTAATTACCTTCTGCAGCTACACTCACTGCCAAAAATGCCATTAATTTTTTTTAGACTTTAAATACCATGAGTCTCAAGGAAAGATGGCTTCACCTCAAAATGTTCGGCTGTAAATCTTGATTGAATAATAGAGGACTCCATTGTCTTTTCATCTACTATTAATACTCTTGCAACCAATCACAGCAAAGAAACAACCTCCAAGGAGAGCCAGTGTCATTGTCCCTGTGCTTGATGCAACAATCACCATTATGATCAATGCTTCAATCATTGTAATGAACACCACCCTCCTGCCTAGGGATACCACTGAGCCCAGGAGAAAGACCTGAGAGTGCATAGTGCCTCTTCACCCATGGCTGAAGATGGTTTGCCTAAAATTTATTCTCATCTTCCAAAAGAAAACAGTGAAACACCAACTGAAGCAACAATTTTCTTTGGGGCTGACAACACTATTCCTAGATCTGAAACAACTATTACTTCAGAAGGAGATCACGCTACTTCAGTAACTGACTACATGTTAGAAAGTGATTTTTCAACAACTGAAGGCAACAAGCTCACACCTACAAAGGAAAGATTCAAGTCAGAAGATGATGTCGAGACTCATAGTAAGTCAACAACTCATCCGGAGAAAGAAATTACCACTCCCATTGGCACTACAGACTCCATAGCTAATGACTCCATTACTAAAAATTTCATTCCAGTGAAAACTGGGAATATTTCATCACCAGTTGCTACTGTTTCTTTAATAGATTTTTCCAGTAACATAGCAAAAGAAGATATCCTCTTGGCTATGATTGACACAGGGGATGAAGATATCTCAATAATTTCTGAAGTCTCTGGCCCATTAAAGGACAGCACTGCCTTTCCAGGTAAAAAGGGTGGAGCTGATGTTAACAATCGTAATTCCTCAGTTAAATCCAATGTCCCTGCTGATGAGGCTGTTCAGGACTCCTTTATTCCTGAGGCAGACATCTCTCCTTCTACTAAAGAAAACTTCGCCACTATTTTAGACATAACTACCCTTAAAGAGGAGAAAATAACTGAAATTGACCTACTTGTTTCAGAGAATGAGCCTGATACTGTGGCTAAATTAACTGACTCTGATGAGGAAAAGTTCATAACTGTGTTTGAACTCACTACCTCTGCTGAAAAAGACAAAGATAACCCAGAAGATACTCTGCTAACCGATGAAGAGTCTACTGATGGGGTCAATGTTTGGATGGAGAGAGATATTGCAAATGAAACAGAGACCCATTCCGTTTTGCTTACTGCTATCGAATCCAGATATGACTTCATTGTCCCTGCAACAGTAGCTATGAACCTCGTGGAAGAATCATCTACTAAGACAACAGAAGATTTGTCTGAAAATAATACAAAAGAATCTATATCTATGGTCACTGAGTCATTTTCTGGAACTCTCCCTGTACCGGATACCTCAGACTACAAGGAAGACACCTCTGCAGCTGAAATGGGTATCTTTAAACTACTGAAAGAAGATCCAGATGACTTCATGATATGAAAGCAACAAATGAGATGTCAAGTAGAATTATGCCATAGACTAAATCGAGCTAGCTTTAACATCTAAGAAGTTTTCCAGCAAGCTAAAATCTTAAAAAAGAAAGAATGTGGGCATTTAAGGCAAGTATTAGACTTAAAAAATGCAAATGCTTACAGATAGAGGTCATGCAGCCAAATATATCTAAAGAAACTTAAAAATACCAGCAGTATAAGAGTTCCCCTAGTATCACAATGTTTGAGTTATCCAACAATCATTGAATAAAATTTTCCATCCCAGCCTTCAGGGGTATGAAGACAGAGCAATGAAGAAGCTCACTTCCTGCTACATTTAAGGATGTATATCACTTTGGTTAATCCTCAATATTATATTTTAGTGAGAATTAAGGATATGAAGAAAATCAAATTAGCATATCTCAAAAAATTACTGAAGTATTAAAGCATCTTCTGAAATGCTTATTCTAAATAATTCTTTCATTCATATCCAACCAGTAATTCTCTTCTATTAAAAATATATTTGCTATTTTCACTCAAATAAGAATTAAGGCTATTCAGTAATTGTTTAGCACCTGCACGTAAGACATAAGAATTGTGATAGCATTCTTGGCTCATGTTGGATGCAAACTAAAGCAAAATGATATTTTACAAATATGCACATTTGTCAAAACAAAATATTGTGTATAAACATATGAGTCAATTTAATTTTCTTTCTGTTAAAATCTGTTTCTTGAATTTTTGTCAATTTTTTCCAGGTCTTAAACACTGAATATCGCACTCTCTTATGCTCTTGGTTAGCAATTCAAGGACATATATCTTCATTCTTTTCTGACACAGACTTTTTAAAAGGGTCTGTTTTCACTTTGCTGGTTTTTCTTCAATAAATCTGACAGCAACAGATTTACTGTGTGTACGTGAGTTTGATATGCTAGAACAGAGTTCTCAAATTAGGAGAGATATAAGTAAAATAAAAATCCATTGCCTGTTTAAAGAATAACTTAGCTCAAGTCACCAGAAATAGAATTATTCTGTAGAGATTTATAATTTTATTATATTAAAAAAACAAAAACAAAAACAAAACACTGAGTGAATAGTAATGTTATGAGGGGGTGGCAGAGGGATTTGCACCATTAGATATATAGTATAGACTAGAATAATTAAGAATAGTGGGTTAAAAAACAGAAACACATTGTAACAAAAGTTTAGTACATGGTAAAGTGGACTCCAAAACCATAGAATATGATGGTTAATCTTGCTCAAACAATCAAGTATTGAGGCAAAAATTAAGCTGGAGTACTGTTTAAGACCATACTCTAAAATAAATTCTACATAGATTAAAATTTTAACATAAAAAATAAAACCAAACAAAAACTTAGAAGGAAGCATTTCTACATATCGATTCAAATGAGCTGAGAAACCTAAGTATATAAGAAAAGTCAAAAAATTTGATAGATTTGAAACCCGAATGGTTAAAATTCTGTACAAAAGAAAATTGATATAAAATTAAAAAGCAAATAACTGAGAGAAAATAATTGTGCTGTACATGGTAGTGAAAAAATTACTATCCTCATTCTATAAAGAGTTCCTACAAAGAAAGCATCTTAAATGGGCAGTTGAAATAAACAGATAATTCATGGAACACAAATTGTCAGTAAACACGTAGAAATATTCAATAGTTGTATTTTAAAAATTAAATATAATTTATATAAATTTATACACCAATTTTAGCTATTTGACATGGGCAAAATCATTTTAAATATTCATTATTAACTAATTTGCCAGACTTTCTCCAAATATCTCCAACCTTTCTAGAAGGCTAAAGGCAATTTGGCAATATATGTAACAAGCATTAAAAACATTTAAAATTTTTGGCCTAGCTATTTTTGATATTTTAGTTCTAAGAATTTTAAGAATCAGAGATCACAAAAGAACTAAAAGTTATTTATTGAGCTCTCACTAGAGGTTAGGCACTGTTGTGCTTACATTTGGAATAACATTTGATCTTCATAAAAAGCCCAGAAGGAGGAACATTATTAAACCCAATTTAATGATAAAAAAAAATTGAGTCAGAAAAGCTATTCTATATGCCTCAAGCCCCTAGTTAATACATATTAAATAAGGCTCCAAACTCAGTCAGTCTTACTCCAGAGCCCATTCTCGCTTAATCACTACACTGTACTATGTCTCAAATTTAAGTACAAGGATGCTGGAAAAGATTTACACTCCAGGATGTGATTGCATATGTTCATAAAGATGAAAAACTGAAGACAACATAAAATTCTAATAACATGGAATTGGCTACATTTCTATATATCCGTATGACTCCTTAGTATGCATCTTTTAAAACAATTCTATGGGGAAAAAAACAATTCTATGGAAGAATATTTAATCAAATTGGAAAAAATGTTCACACGACTCCTCAACAAAGTTTACACAGTAGTATGTATGCAATACACACAAACACACACGCACATGCACGTGCAGAGTGAGAGAGAATGTTTAGACTATATATACCACAATATCTTAACAGTTATTATCTCTAGGAAGGACTGCAGGTGATTTTGTCTCATTCTTTGTGCTTTCATGCATTTTCTAAATGTTCTGTAACTATCCAGAATACAAAGTGTATACAGGGGAGGATAAGTATTTGTCAACATCATCAGCCAGAAAACGTGGAAACCAACCTACATCTCCCATTCTTGCAATAAAATATTAGCTAGTATTTTTGAGTATTTCCTATGTGTTAGACACTAAGTATTTTATTCATTTTCCATTCCTAAAACGTTCTTTGTACACCTATTATGTTCCAAGCACCATGAAAGTCTCTTGGGACATTGTAGTGAATCAGGTAACACAGTCCCTGCCTTTATAGAAACTAATCTACTGGTAAAGACAAATATTAAACAAATACTCTCAAATAATCTGCATAACTGCAGATTATAAGGGGTGTTACAAAGAAAAATAATAAGAGTATAGTTGCAGATTTCATACAAATTTAAGGCCAGGGAGTTGTCTCTGAGGAAGTAAGATGTAAGCTAAAATGTGGACAGTTGAGAAAACAACATGCCCCAATCCTGAGGCTAGCAATGACCGAGGTTTTTCAAGGAAATAAAGAGACATGTCATCAGCTGGAAAATGACTCAAGATGAAGCTGGAAAGGTAGGCAGAAGACAAATCATATGGTCCTTGCTGAACATTCTGGATCTTATCCATTTGGATACTATTAAAGGTTTTTATCCTCGAAATAATCTTAGTACTGAGAACGCTGTCAAGATGAAAAGCATCACTATTTTATAAACTTAAACCATACTTTCTTTCAGGGACTTTGTTTAGGAAAATAGCTTGATAGGCCCCTTTGACTGGGGAGATGAGACCCTGAGGTATAAACTGGACTGGAACAGTTAAACAGTAAAAAAAAAATAACATGCTCTACAACAGAAGGAAATGGGAATTTGGAGCTGGGGCTAGGCCAAGACAGGAAGAACAGAGGACGCTGGCAACTGCCTAGAGCCCAGATGGTGGCCACTGAGATCCCTGGTAGCCAGTGAACATCAGATGTTTCAAAGAAAGGGTGCCTAATAATTTTAAATTGTGCAACTTCGAAGTAAAGTTTCTCTTTGCCCTGAAATTTTATTAAATGTCTGTAAAATGCAAGGTTTTGAATATGCAATTCTTGAGGAAATAAAGGACTAAGTAAACCAAAAGAGAAACAGATAAGATGTGGATTAAAGAATGGATGTATTAGAGAAAATTAAGTGAAATAAGCCAGGTACAGATAGACAAATACTGCATGTCCTCACTCATAAGTGAGAGCTAAAAAAAAATTAAAAACAAAATAAATTTTTAAAAAGAAAGAAAGTTACAACACTCACAATAATTCATTGAACTTCCAAAAAGATAGAACAGAACTGAGGCTACTACAGGTGGGAAAGGAGGAGGGAATAGCGAGAAATTGGTGAAGGGCCACAAAAAAATATTATATTGTGTAATGTAGAATATACTAATTATCCTGATTTGAGCGTCACTTATTGCACACAGGTATAGATATTCGACACTGTAGCCCACAGATATGTACAGTCAATTATGTTTCAATTTTTTTTTTAAATGGCTATAAGTCAGAGTCTTTATTCCCAAATATACTAAATAATGATGACCCTAGAAAGGAATGATGGGCATGCAGTGAATGCCACATTTTGCAGGTGACCAAAGTGAAAATGAGGAAGGTCATTGGCCCAAGATAACCAAGATAGTAAGTAGCAAAGTTCAGCTCCAGAGACCTGCAAAACTCCAAAGGCCAAGTTCAAAGTCACAGTGCTTTGTGTGAACTGTTAAACAGTGAATCATTCCACCTCCTTATCATAACCCTCCGCATTTCTCCATTTCCACATCGCTCCCCTAGTTCCGCCTGCCTGCTGACTTGGAACTGGTCATCCCACCTCCGGTTTTGCATCCTATCAATTAGTTATGCTCAGCACTCGTCTTGCCTCTAAAGCCTTTTTATTCACTCCCAGCTGTCTTCATAATAAAGTCCAAACTCAGCCAGGCACACAAGCTCCTACCTGGTCTTCCTCTGCCCACAGCCCACTTGTACCCCTCCTGTTCTCCCCTTCCACACTGTTTACAGGACGTACTAATGTACGCTGGCTGAGAGCTGGAACCCAAACTATTGAGCCAAAGAATACCTGGTACATAGTCGGTAGTCAGTAAATAGTTACAAGTGAAAAACAAGAGGAATTATCATTTCCTTAACGTTGACATTAAAATAACAATTAAAAGAGTAGGTGCAGTTGACATCTACTCTTTTTGACCTAGCTTCCAACCCCTGCTAGCTTACAAAATTGTACATCAGATTTTCTTTGTCATACAACCTTTCACACGTGTGTGATTTAGGTGAGATAGACCCCACTACCAACTAGCAATAAGCACAGGCATTCAGGAAGAAGCACATAAACCAGTCAGAGCACAGGGGACATAGAAGATGGATTGTGGGGCTTTCTGGGAAATAAG